CCATTCCGAGATTTGCTTCTTCCACGTTCCTGGTTACCTTTCACCACAAGCCCTTCACCTTGTGAAGCTTCATCACTGGCTTTCTTCCGCTAATGAAAACCTAACAAAGCACCTGTGACATCCTCCAATTCGTGGGTTTCTTTCCCCCACATCAGAGTCGTAACCAAATTCTCGTACGTAGGAGACGCCGGTAGGGAATTCAGCAACATCAGCGCCTTGTCTTCGTCTTCGAACTTCACATCAACTCGCTTCAGATCGCTGATGATCTGATTGAACACGTTGATGTGTTGGGTCAAATCCGAGCCCTCTGACATCTTAAGACCATATAGTTTCTGCTTAAGATAGAGCTTGTTCGTCAACGACTTGGACATATACCGACTTTCCAGTTTCAACCAAACTTCCGCCGGTGATTCCTCATCCATGACGTGATACATCACTTCATCAGCCAGACAAAGCCTAATAGTCGCCACAGCCTTCGCTTCCAATTCTTTCCAATCCATGTCGTCCATTCCTGCCGGTTGTTTTCCGTATAATGCCTTCACCATGCCCTGCTGCACTAACAGGTCCTTCACCCTCCTCTGCCATAATCCGAAATTCCCAGTTCCGTCGAACTTCATGATGTCGAATTTTGTAGAGGAAATCCCAGACATCGTAGTCTAGCTCTGATACCAATTGTTGTGATCGTGCAGCAATTATGGTGAATAGTAAGGAATCAAACAATTAAGAAAGCAGGAAAAAATAACACACAGAGATTTACGTGGTTCGGCAATGTGCCTACATCCACGAGAGCGAACGGCCTCACTCTCGTGGATGTAGGCACATTGCCGAACCACGTAAATCTCTGTGTGTTATTTTTTCCTGTGTTTCTTAATTATTTGATTCCTTACTATTCACCATAATTGCTGCACGATCACAACAAGATTGGAATTGTTATTCCGAAACATTTTGAAGCATTGCAAAAAATTCTGATGTTGGTTTATTTTTATGGAGTCTAGTTTGTATATGTGATCCGGATGATGACCCAACCCGAAATAATGTTGTGTGGTTTTTAATGGAAAATTTTCTGAGGCTTAGTCCATGGAGCGAAGGCTTGGGCCGATAGGCCCAAAATTTTTTTGGGCCCGTTATACAGCCCAGTGCGTAGGACATATAAACTCTATTGTTTTGGTGATTAGGGTTAATTATGGATGGTACAGCCGCTCTCTGTATTCAACTCTCTCAATAGTGAAATCCCTGCAGCTTCGTGGACGTAGGCAAATTGCCGAACCACGTAAAATCTGTGTCTTGTTCTTTCTTGTTTCTTATTGCTTTATATTCTTGATTTGTTCTTCGATTGTGTGTGTTTGTTAGTGGATTTAAAT